TATCTTCTGAGGTCTACAGTTTTGTGGTAGTGTCCAATTCATGACATGTGTACACTGTCACTGGTAGACAGAGGAGGCAGACAGAGTCCAAATCCATACCAGATGATCCCATTAAGCCTACAGTAGGATGAGGTGATGATTCTGGTGCTTTCAACTCCAAAGAAGTTCAGGCTGATCCTGGCCTCTGGTTGTGGAGTTGGGACAGCATTGTTCAACCTACAACACTCTGGGTGAATCTTGCCAGCCTGACCTTGGCTCTCTAGCCTTGAATGTCTCCCATGGTTGTACCTCACCTATTTCACTGGGACCCATGAGATGAAGCCAACCCACAGCTGCTCCAAGTCCCGGGCTCAGTTGGCCCATTCCTAAAATGATGTATTACCAAGCTCCCTTTTCAGGGGACTCACCCGTCATACTGATCCATTGGACTGTGCATTTCTCCTTGGAGGCTTCTGTCACCAGCCCTCACTATGTCTCTGTAGATTCGAGCTTCCTTTCTCATGGTGCAAGCTGGGAGTCGGGGAGAAAGTAGTTTGCCACCTCCTTTTTCTGCATCAAGGTCTGTCTCTTCACTTTCCCTCTGATCTTCAGTTCTCCCTTCAGATCCTTCCTAGGTCCTGCGGATTCACTTTCCTCCCTCTTTTCTTTTTTTTTTTTTCTTGATGAACATAGATACAAAAGTCTTTAATAAAACATTTGGAAACTAAATATTGTCAAACTGAATTAAAAAACACATTATAAAAATCATACAATACAATCAAGTTGGTTTCATTTCAGGGATCCAAGAATGTTTCAATATATTTAAATGAATAAATGTACTACAGTATACATATAGACTCAAAGGTAAAAATCACATAATCATTCTCAATTGATGCAGAAAAAGCCTTTGATAAAATTCAACATCCCTTCCTGATAAAAGCCCTGAAGAAACTAGGTATCAGAGGATCATACCTCAATATAATAAAGGCCGTATATGACAAACCTATAACCAACATCATACTGAATGGGGGAAAACAGAAACATTTCCTCTAAAATCCTGAACTCACACCACTTCTGTTCAATATATCACTTGAAATTTTAGCCAGAGCAATTAGGCAAGAGAAAGATAAAAGGGATAAAAATAGGGAAAGAAGATGTCAAGTTGTCCTTATTTGCAGAGGCTATGTCCTACACATTCAAGACCCTAGGACTCTACCAAAAGACATTCATAACCAATAAACAAATTCGGCTCAGTGGTTTTGCCTCCTGCTGCACAAGCGCAAGGACCCAAGTTCAATCCCCGGTACCAAAAAAAAAAATATCAGATGACTATAGATAGTTGAGTGTTTTGTTTTGTTTTTATTTGAGACAAAGTCTTGCTATGTAGTTCAGGCTGGTCTTGAACTCACCATGTAGTCCAGGCTAGCCTCAAATTCTCAGTAATCCTCCTAGTGTGCCACCACACCTGGCTTGAGTATGCTTTTGTGTCCTCTCTTCTATTCATTGGTCTACATTTTTATGACAATACCATGCTGTTTTTGTTACTATGTCTGTGAAATATAACTTGAAATCAGGTATTATGATGCCTCTAGTTGTGCTCCTCCCTCTTTTCTTCCCCAAGTTGTTATATTCTATTATCTGGATTCCAAATCTCAGAGAAGCTGATTTGCTGCTGTTTACCACTTCCCTGTTTCCAGAAGTCTGGTTCATTTTTAATTTCTAGTTCTTTTGAATGAGTTCTAGATAGTGTCTTTCATTTTCTCATTAGGGCTACAGTCATCTTATATCGTCCTCTGAGATATTCTCCCAGGATGTAAGATCTCAGGCTTTTCATCATGCAATAGTAGTTGGCCTAACTACATTCATAGTATCAATGATCTCAACTTAGCATATTGTCTCATTCTCCCTTTTCCTTCTAACTTGGACTTAAATCTTACTTTTTAAGACAAAAGAAAAAAAATCAATGAAAAATTTATTCACTCCAATAGATGGGGTATTTTCATTTATTTGAGCTAATATAAAATGTAACTGGAATAGTCTCAGAAAAGGTGGTAGACTATTTGTTATTAGGATCTTTGCAAGAAATCATATTCTGACTATACGGTTTGTGGATCATAACACTACTTGTGTAAACACAATAGAAAAGGTGTAGGAAAGCAGAGTAACAGTTCTAATCTCAAAACTGACATGATAAAACTGTGGCATAATAAATCTTTCTCACTGAAACTGCTAGCTTATATCAGATAGAGCTCTAATTTAATAATAAATCTGGAAAGTTGTCATTTAATCTAACATAAAATAGACCACAAAGTCTATTTGGAGGATATAGTTAGAATTATAACATTCTACTTCTCCTTAAAGCCTATTATAAGTCATTGACTTTTTAATAGTTTATAGAGAAACATACACATCTTTAAAGGAGGAGAAAAATGGAAGTGCTATTAATTTTTATTGTTATATGCCATGCAGTGTCCCTTTTAATCCCCATGATAACTTAATGTGTAGGTATTATTATTCTAATTTTATAAATAAAGATTTATTAAGTATAATTTCCCAAAAACTCACAGTTAATAAGTTCAATTTACATTTAATGTAATCGAGGGCCAAATGTTCTACTCTGAAATTTCACTATATCTTTAGAAGCTTAAAAATATATGGATGGGATGGAAAGGATGTGGGTATAGATAGCACCAAGAGAAGATTTATTTCACTGATGCTGAAAGAGTTTGCATTATAATTAAAACACTCTAAAGAAAATAAAGCAAAAAACAGATAAAGAAAATGAAGTAATAATACATTTGGGCATGAAGTCGGCTTTTAATAGAAACTTCAACTTGATTTAGCTATATTTACAGTGTTTTAAATTATTATCTACAAGCAAAGTCATCCAGAAAATTAAGGGTGGCATATATGGTAAATATAAAAATTAAAATTTTGACAGAATAAAATAAATAACTTTAGTAATTACATTAAACATGTTTTCAATTTCATAGTAAGCTATTAAAAGTAAAACAACTGTTCAAAGCATGCTGCCAAATTTTTTCAAAATGATTTGTTTTGAAATGTTGACTAAATATCTCAGAACTGTATATCATCTTTAGTGTATTTAAACGTTCTTTAAATCAAAAACATAGCTTTTCTTTGTGTGCTAAAACCTGTTAGATGTGATTTTCAACTTCATATTGGACACAGAAGATTATACATTTGTTATTATTTAAATGTTTCTACCACTTATACTGTATAAGGCTTCATATTTTATATTATATTATTTATATTATATATTATATTATATTTTATATTATATATGTATTTTTAAATTAAAATTTGAGTTATTAAGAAAAGTTTAGTCTTAATATTCCTATTTTATGTTGTAGTTGTTCAAAAATATTTACATAATATGTATTTATCCATTGACTACCTATTATTTAATGGATGAAAGAATTTAGTGCAAATTAGTTAACTGACTTTTAAAAATCACTCAAGAAATAGTCAAGCCTTTGTCTCCATATTTGTCTTCTGATAATTCAGGGAAGGCTTAATGTGTACAAATGCAGAAATATAGACATATATATATATATATTAAGTAGTTATATATATTAAGTAGTTTACCGATATACACTGCAAAATAAGATATGCCTAATGGCATGTCAAATGCTCAGTATGTTTTTTTTAATTAACTTTATAGGTACATTTTAGATATACAATATAATGACACTCATCATTGGGAATTTGCACCTTTATGTAACCTATCTTGGTTCTTACTTTTTTCCCCATTTCCCTGACCTCCTTTCAACCCCTCCATCCCTCCCTATTTACAAAGGCTTTGTTTCCATTTTTTTCATTTTCTTATATTGATTCCATTCCAAAGGGGAAGGGAAAGTGGGAGGGATAGGGGAAAGGAAAGAAATTAATGAGGTTTTTTTCTCTGTAGTTTTGAAAATCCCACTAGAGTTGGAATGAACATAGTGCGTGGGTATAGAATTTACTTTAGGCCCTATTCACTCATTTGTGATGGACTGCCTTAGGTGATTTGTGTTTCTGTTTGCCCTAAAAAGTAGCCAAAAACTTTTCCTATAACATTACCCTCAAAAAGAAATAAATGTGTGCATTTCCAGCTATTCTCTTACCTGTTTATTGTATTCCCCATTCCCCTCCAAAGCTGCTTCATTTCTTAGATTCCCACAAGTATGGAAAATAATGGCCTTTCCCCAGTGGAGGAAGTCCTACTGCAAAACCAAGGAAAGTATTAGGCTGGATTCCTAAGCCCGTTTCCAGGCAAAAACAAAATTTTGTCAAAGTTCGATTAAAAAGCTTGAGATTAATTAATTCTTTGATCCCTGTTATCCTTGGCTATTCTGCCTTGCTTGACTACCACTACTAAAATAAAATCTTGTCATGTATTTGTACTGTGAAGCATGTTGATATATTTCCTAGATCTCTGCATTATGCCCTCTGGGACTGGAATTTGATTTGTAAGCTGATTGTCCTTCAGTGCTATTCAAAGAATACTCTCTAGAACTTTTCCTCCTTATTTAAAATGATTTCTCCTCTAGAAGACAGTGCTTTCCTCTGAGCTTCCCTAGGAGAAGTGTTCTTTCTTCCAAATGCAACTTGTCAAGAGCCATGAATTAACACTGACATTCTACCTGAAATTTTTCTTTTCAGGCTCATGCTATTTGTTATGCTTTCCTGTCACTGTAATCTTAATGATAGCTTCTCTTCCTCCATGTGAAATGCTTATATCTGATTCATTGTTTTCCTCTCAATTACAATTCTGTCATCAGGAAATTTTAACTCCCCCATGAGTGATTTACCCAAGGTCTTACCATTCTACTTCTTGGACCCTCTTAAAAAGTGATGGTTTTTCACACATATTCTGATCAAATGCATAGCAACCAATTCTACTATTTTAGCGTAAATTACTATCACCTATTTTTTTGGCCCCTAAAATTTCCTATTTAACTCACATTCATATCTAATTTTGGTAACCAGACAATACTATTTTTTTTTTTGTCTCCAAGTATGTTAGACCCAGCTGGCTTCATCCTTCAACCTGAAGTACATGCTACTCAGAACAGTGATATTCAAAGTGTGGTCCCCAAACCAGCAGTATCAGCATCAGCATCTTTTGGAAATATGTAAGAACTAGAATTTCCTCGGGCTCCCCACCCCCAGATCTACTGAGTCAGAGCTCTGATACTGGAGCCCAGCAAACTGCGATTTCAAAAGCCCCCTACGTGATTTGAGAACCAGTGCTATATAGGGTGCATTCAACTGCTGTCTTCTCAATATCCTTGAGTGATAATGAGCAATCAAACACAAATGTATTATTATTTTATTCTAAGCCTGCCCATTGGAAAAGCATTCTAAAAATACACCAAGTTCTCCAGTTTTATTCAGTGACCACTTTTCATATACAATTGCCAACTACAAATATTTTTATAATTCTTAGTGATCTAAATTTGAATACCATAAAATTGCTAAATGCTCATTGTTCACTGATACTTCCAAAGGTGTTTTGGTTATTGTCCTCTGGGATAGATGCTGATATATGTTAATTAGTTTAAGGTCACTCACTTGAGCACCCTAAGACAAGATTTGAACTTAAAACTAGCTGAATATAAAGTCTATGCCTCTCCTAGTTTGCAGATGAATGAAACAACAGATAAATCATTGTTCCTCTTCACTCTAATTGAAGCAGTGCTTATGAATGAATGTTTTAAAGAATTTTTAAGTATGAATATTATGTGAAAATCTATTATCAAATGATTTTGGTGAATATCAGGTTAGTTTTTTTAATATGCCATTGAATATTTTGATTTTACAAAATGGATATATAGTATGATGTTAGCCAAAATTCTTTAGAGTGAACCATTTGTTTATAGTTATACTAACAGCTTGTAAGACTAGGTTTCCTAGAGTTGGTTTTTGAACATTTGGACTTTGTCTATTTTTTTCTCTTCAAATTATATGGACTTGCTTATCTATTTTTGATATCCTTATTTCATCTGCTGTTATTCTCTTCCTTATTTCCCCACTTTTTTCAACTAGAACAGTTTTTCTCCCATTAGCCCACTAAGTACTATTTTTCTACTCCTTCAGAGATAGCCTCATATTCTTTAACATTTAGAGGAATTACATTTAGCATGTGCCTGGCATTTGTGAACATAGTGTCTATGTGTATATACACTACCTCATGTAAATTTCATAGCTTCATGATGATAGTATAATTTATAAGTTCAATAGCATCACACTATATGACACATAGATGTGTCCAGTGCTGAATAAGCTCTGTCAGTGCCTGGCTTTCCTGCCAAATTCCTGCTGGACATCAAACTTGGGACTGCAAAGATGTCTTCCCATGGTCCACATCTGCATCCACAACACTACCTGGAGAGGCATTTTGCCTAAATTTTAGTTTAAAAAACTAACAAAAAGTTAAATTGAACATGACTGAATTACAGAATGAGAACATAAACATTTTTAAACATCTAACTGCAGCTTCCTATAAAGTCTAACAGCAGTTTTGTTATTAATGTCAATTTTCACTAGAAATTTGATAAACCTGGAGGAAGTTGTGTTTAATAGATATTTTTGTGCTAGCCCAGCATATTACCGCTTTTTCTTTCATTGTGCAGGTTCCGCTGATCTTCTTTGTGTTCCATGCTCTTCTTGTCCCACTCTGGTCTACTCTGGTATGTTTGCTCAGGGCATTTAGTGTCAATGTCAGGTAATTATGGGTATTATCTGCAACTACTCAGTGTTCAGGTTTTTTAAACACTCTTTATGATCTAATCAGAAAATATTTTGCATGAGGCACCTTGCACAATGTCATGTGTGTGTGTGTGTGTGTGTAATGTGCTATAGATCTCACATCCCCATTTATTCCATATTCCTCTATACTGACATGGTAGAACAGAAATTTTAATCTCCTTCTCCTTGACAGGAAAAATAACTTCTAGATAGATATAAGTTGAAACATATTTCTCCACTGTGCAAACTGTAGACTCTATCATAGCATCAGATATCCCCTGGAATTACAGCATCTAAGAACAGTTTTACAGCCATAAACATGAAGCTACCTATGAGCTTTATGTACAGAGATTAAAAACATTGGCCATTATCTTCTCCCTGTAAATCACGAAAAAGAGCAAAAGTGTTGAGTTTGTCCTGAATCTTCAGAGATTCATAGAATATAAAACCTGGAAAGAATTTTTAGTTATCTACTCTTCTCCTAATCCAGTTAAGAGTGTTGGTCCCTTCTGTCAATCCCCCTACCAAATGTTCACCCAGACTCTATGCGGAGTTCACTATCTTTCTTAGCTGCCCATACATTTTGGACTTCTCTGGACACACATTGACCCAATAATTTCTACAATGCACTATTATGTACCCATTAGAATAGTATGTTCATTGCCACATATTTTTAAAAATAAAATATGTTGCTACAATGCATGGAAAATTTTACAGTAAAATATGGAACACACAGAAACGTAGAAACATCTATTAACCAACAGAAGAGACTGACTAATTATAACAATTATATAATGGAAAGTAGTGATTCCATTAGGAAAAATGAGATATAAATTAATTGGATATATACATACTGTATATGTGCTGATATCAGCAGAATAAATATATATTCAGTTGCGTTGATGTGGAAAGATTTTTCTCAATATTTTTGCCAAAAGCAAAACAAAACAAAACTATAAAAAAGTCACATCAGAGGATATTGAATATAACTTGTTTTTAATATGTAATGCACAGATACATTCACAATCATAAATTTACATTTACAGAATTCCATTTGAGTGTTTACAAACAGAAATGCCATCACTAGCTGTTTCTTTGTGGTGTGATATTCTCTCTTTGCTCATCTGGAAGTATAGCATTTGCATACTAAGCAAATAACTCTTTAAATTATAAAATGTATTTAAAATATTTTGTTTATAAATTGTAAAAGAAATTACTCTTATTTTGCTCATAAATATGAAGTCCTTATAGTTTTTTTCTTTGTGGCTCTCTCCTTTTGAGTCACAGACAATACTCGTGTCTATGTTCCATGTAATGACTATACTACCATATTCCACAACCATCACATGGTTGGTCCTCTTAGTTTTTCAGTGTTCTCTGTATGAAGCAGATGGGCATAATGCTCTTCAATATAAGAGCTCTAACTTGGTCATTCTTTAGAGTTATTCATATTTAACATGGCACCTATTATGGTTCTTCTCATTGTGGAACTTACTACATCGTGGAGAAGGCATAAAATGAATGATTACTTACATAATATGTTGGTGATTATTGTTTCAGAGCCATTTTAGGCTAAAATAAGTACAAGCAGTAAAAATTCTTTGTTGAGAAACCAAAATTCCAAAGAAAGTGATATTTAAGACTAAGAACAAAGGATTATGGTGTTAATTAAATAAACAAGTGAGGTAACTAGTCTGTTCCAGATAAGGAAAAAATGTGTGTCTAAAAAATTGGATTCTCTTTTCTCCTCTCTTTTTCTTTCCTTTGCTTTCTCTCTTCTATTAAATAGATATTCATTGAGAAAATTATACTGTTCCAGGCCCTTTGAGAAATTTGGATATTGATAATATTCTTGCAAAATGTTTATGGTCTAGTTGGGGAATAAGAAATATTAAATATAACATTTCTTTAAAGCAGAAATAGCATATAAAATATTCTAGAAACATGGACTTTCTATTCTAACCTCGTTAGAATTTTAAAGAGACATATAGAAATTGGTATACTATAAGAAAAATATGTGTAATGTTAATGCTATTGTAAATTTTCATGAACAGTAGAATAAAACATTAAATTTTCAATCTTTCTATGCTGAGTTATAGATATATTATTAAGTATATTTTCTTTTGTTCATTTCTCCTCTACAGGTCTGTGAAATAGAAAGAAGATGTTGAAAGTTGTCCTTAAAGAAACTGCAATTAATCGAATACTTATGTATAGTCCTAATTTTATTTGCTCTATGTAATTATTTAGAGAATGGTTATTTTTATATCAGTAATAAAAGTATCATTGTAACCAGGGGGTGGGCACATGTGTAATCAGAACACTAACTCTGGCAAAGGACTCTGGGGCGGTCAGGATTCTTGTTGCCTTTTGACATGGTTAATATCCTGGGTATGGATTACTTTATACATAGTTATTAATATCAATGTTTGATATATTAAAATATTGCCTGATCCAAATAACTTTGCTTCAATTTTTTCTGTATTTTCACTTGTCTAAGGTTTTCTACCTCTTTTATTTTTATAATATTTTCTCATTTTTTAGGCCAATAGACATTACACTTAGAAAGATGTTCCAAGGTGTGCCATTTAGGACTCTTCAGAAACTAGCTGTTTGGTATCATCACCTACCATGTGAGTTGTTTGCTGCAGTAAGAGGCACATTCCCCATGACTACCCTTCCAAGGTTATTTTCCCAATTCTTATCAAGACAAATAATTGATATGTTAAGTAAAAAAATCAGATCAATAAAGAATGAAATGCATGCCCCTTTTCATCACATGAGATGAAAATAGACTATTTATGCAATTATTAAAACCAATTAAGAATATTCATTTTAAATTTGATGTATGTTTGCTTTTGGAATGTGCTATGCATTGATGCTAAGTGAATTAATCCCAGTAAATCTATCAAGTATATTTGCTGTCTGTTTTAACTTACTTGTCTTAATTTAAGATTGTTTTCTGGACCCATAAGTCATTAACATTAAATTATAAAGCTGCTTGTATAGCTATCAAAGAAACAAATATTAAAGGCCAGAGCATGGCTAAATAATAAAAGAAATTCTCATTGTATGAATTAATCCATATTCCTAAATATAAATAATTTATATTATAGTAACTAATAAATTTTCTTACATTACCATTTTTTTGTATTGAAACTCATGAGATTAATTAAAAGTTATTGTTTTCTATAGATAGAAATAAATTAAGTGCTTACAAAATAGTACATTTTCAGCAGAAAATTGAGAAGGTAAAAGAGTAAGTTTATGGGACAAAAGTACTTTTTATTTAAAAATCCTTTTCAGAAAGAATATTTTTTCAAAAATGTTCAATTGATGATTCAATTATGTTCCCTGATAAAAATTTTCTTTCTTTAAAGCATATCACCCATAATGAATGCCTGAACCATACTTGCCTCCAAACATCACTTGGTTAGTTTCAGTCCTCCTCTTGTTCACTGATCCTTTCCTGGAGACATCACCCCAATAACTGCCACACAGACCTCGAGTCAGATCCACTAGGATGACAGGATCTATACTGCTGAGGATGCCATCAAAGGTAAACAAAACCAGGGACTAATTGAAATTATGAAGATAAATTTTAATCAAGAATTGACCATTACAATAGGGAGAATGGTCCAGCCAGAGCTGAACTTAACTTCAATGTGTGCAGAGGTATTTGGGATTTTAAAGAGAGAATGAAAGGGAGGGAACGGGGAAATGGCAAGGATTTGAGCAGAATCAGAGGAGGGGAAATTTGCAAAATGCAGGAAAAGGAAAAGGGAGTTGGTCCATGTGAAACCCACCTGGATTTGATCACTGGAACTTACCAAAGTTAGGGTTCCACTCTCCTTCAGACACGAAGATAGGGGCTGTCTTAGGTGTTGGCTAAAACAAAAAATGTTGTTTTGTCATCCTTCAGCTTTCTCAGGCAGAAACTTAATGGATGGGAGCATCATCCTAAGGATGGAGGTTTGTGCTGTTAAGAAACTAAGTTAGTATATAGCCAAGATTTTTGTTTTTTTTTAACATGGGGGTCAGGAAT